ACTAAAGCAAAACCCATTACAGGATGTTTCACCTGTATCTTGGTAATTACTTATTTTCATAAAACCCTGGGATGTGTTATGAAAATTTCCAAAAATAGAATAAAGAAAACATGTTTAGGTAAGTGGGATTCAGTGCTGAAATGGAACGATGAGGTAGTCCTTGGTTACACTGTTAGTGAAAGTACAAACCAATGCCTACCTTTCTAGTAAGCAATGCTGGCCTCACTTAACAAGATCCTGAAAAGAGTTTTTCATCCTTCTGCCTTTCAACCTAGTAATTATCACCTTGAAGTAAGGTCAGAACTGCAGAAAATGACTTATGTACCAAGACATATAAGGACTTATGTACATCAGAATATTTATAAGTGTGAAGAAATTAGAAACAACCTCATTCCCAACAATAAGGAAGTAACAAATAGCATAGGATATATGGGTATATTTACAGCATTCAATGTGATGTGGTTAGGGGGGAAAAAAACGAATGGAAAGGAGAACACAAAAATATTCACCATTATCTCTGGAGATGTACTTTTGGCGATTCTTATTATCTCCATTATACTATGTGTATTTTTCAAGATTGAGCATCTTTTCTTTTTTAATACCAAGCAGGTATCACTAATGCTATTCTCCATACAGTTTTGGCTTTCTGCCTTCCAACCATATGGTAAGAATGAACATCCAGGCTCCTTTATGGTTGGGTAGGTCCATATGCTTAGTTCTGAGTTGTGAGTGGAAGTGACAAGTATCATTTCTGGGCCAAAAATTTAATTACCAGTTAAAGACCCTGCAAAGCTCTTTTCTTCCTCTGGCATGACATCTAGCAGTAGTAGAGATGGTGGCTGCCATGAGCTCGGGTCCTTAAGTGTTTACCATGAGCAGAGCTCTTTTTGTTGAACCATCAATGGCCATGTAGCTTGAGGAAGGAATAAATGTGTGGTGTTTTAAGTCTCTGAAATTTAAAAAGATTTAACATTTAAAAATTTTAAATTTTAAACATTTTCACATCAGCATCACATAGCCTATTCTGATTGATACAGAAATTGGTATTCTGAAGTAGAGTACTACTATGGCCAAGAGAAAAACACACAATCCAAACACTACTTGAAATACATGGCTTTGGCTTAGAGGCCAAGTGGCAGATAATAAGAGAATAGACATCAGAGATTAGAAGGAGGTGACCCACATTATGTAGTATAAAAGTACTTTGTAAAACTGTCATGTGATAGCTTGGAAAGCAGATAATGTACCTAATTAGTTTGTGGTTTTGGGAGGTTTTTTTTTTTTTTTTTAAGTATGGGAAGCAGAAAGTTACTAGCATTTGTCTGTTATCATTGAGTGCATTTAAAAAAGTAATACAAGAAAGAAATGACTTGAGACAAGAACTGACCGGTTTGAAAGCAGGAATGAAAGGGAATAGAGAAAATCCAGAAATGTGAACTTCCAACTTATGGGGTTGGAAGAAACATTTCTCATTCCCAAATAATAAATGATAAAACCAAGAAACCTGTTGAATAACAAAGACTGATTAGAACTCCGGTTTATGGCGGGGATCAAATCAAGGTGTAAATCTCTAAATAGATTAAGAGCTCTCAGAGTGAAAACACCAATTAAGGTTGTGGAATACAGTAAACCCTTTCAATTGGACAAAATAGCTCAAGGAAATGAAAGCAAAAGTGTGGCCTGATAGACCCAAAGTATTTGTAATTAAATGAGGAGAGTGAAAGAAGCATGAGGCTAAGAAAGCAGAGAATAGTAGCAACTCTAAAAAGTAAGTCTAGAAAAGAACTGTGGATGTGTAAGCTTGCCGGAATAAAATAGACAAGATGCCTATTTGAGTTTTTCCATTTTACCAGCTAAATAACCACTACTCCAGACTAAAGAGAACATGACTGTTCAAAACTTTAATAATTTTGGTCACAAACATTGATCATAGGAAGTGCACTAGGGAAGCTTTTCAGATTCCAAGAAGAGATTTCAAATGCCCATTCTAGGTATGGCCAAGAAGAATAATGGAAAAAGGAAGAATGTTCAACTGGGAGGCGGAGGTTATAGTGAGCTGAGATCACACCACTGCACTCCAGCCTGGGTGACAGAGTGAGAATCCACGTCAAAAAAAAAAAAAAAAGAAGAATGTTCAAGAGCCATAAGGACAATGAGCAGGAGAATTCTTAGAGAATGGAATCAGGACCTAATCCAAATTCCACACCCTTGGAGTATGGAGCACACATCTACTGAATGGGATTTCAGAATTGCTTTGGCCCAGTGACTGCTGTGTGTCTCCCATTCATTCCCCTTCCAAGTGTAAGAGTTTATTGCAATTATCTTATTCAAGTTCCACTACTCTATATTGGATGCGTGGGGGTCTCTGCATAAAGAGGAGTAACATTCAGACCTGATGTAGAGCACTTAGGATTCATGCACTTTGAATTTAATATCACGATTGGATGGAACTTTTTGTTTTTTGTTTTGCTTCCTTAAGGATGAGATGACTTTGAGTGTATTTTGTGTGAGAAGAGGAATGAACTAAATATTGGTGGTAAGACAGGTAGGACAGGTGGATATGCTGGTTATTATTCTGGCTCAGAGATATCCGGTTCTCCTAACTTTTGAAAAGACAGAATTTCCTAGTCATCAAATATATATTTAGATTTAAAAGAGAGATATATAAGCATATATATGTATATATTTACATTTTAAATAGAGATAGGGTGTCACTATGTTGCCCAGGCTGGTCTCGAACTCCTGGCCTCAAGTGATCCTCCTATTTTGCCCTCCCAAAGTGCTGGGATTACACAGATGAGCCACCGTGCCCAGCCCAAGTCCCTCCTATTTGAATAGGGCCTTGTGACTATTTCTGACCAACGAGATGTGAGAAGAAATGACAAGAAGCACTTCTGGGTCATAGCATTTAGTTGCTAATACAAGACTTTCCAGATTTCATGTCTCCTCCCTCTCCTCCACCTCCATGATTCTTGTCTCAAGATGGAGTCTCTAAGTGATGAGGATAAACACAGTCCCCCTGCCAACCTGTGCTGGATAGTCAGCACGGGTAAGAATTGTTTAGGCCCGTGAGGTTTGGCAGGTTGTTTGTTACCATGGCATTACCTAGCCCGTCCTGCCTGATAAATCAACAAACAGCAAGAGGAACTTGTAATTCCACATATGTATCTATCTGACTTATCGTATTGGCAATATCTGGAGTTAGCTCATCTTGGACATACATGTGAAGGCCCCTTTCTTAATATTCAGTATATTAAATAGTCAATATGTACTTTTGGTAAGTTTTCAAAGACAGCTGTCCTTCTGTAAAATCTCTAAAACTCTAGGAATAAGCAGGAGAGCCAATACTTGTTTTCTGACATCCAGCCAGACTGCTCTTGGGGGAGGGGGAAAGGAATCCAAAGGAAAAGTATCATTTTCTAAGCTAGAAATGTTTATCAAAAAACACATATGAAAACTTAGAATTGAATTATCAATTTTACTGCCTGAAGTGGCCCCCCCAAAAAACAAAAGTGACTATTTCAACTTTGTCCTAAATAAATATTAACATAAAATTCTTCCTGGTAGGCAATCTGCCACAGACTATCAACAATGTCTTCCGTGCCTGTGAAACTGGCACAATGGAGATTAAAAAGGAACTTTAAAGTTTTCTTCTTACTATTTTTGAGAGCTTTAAATAGTCATTCTATTTTAAAAGAGTAATAGACATGAGGGATTTGTTTAAATGGTAAACATGAAGATTTATCATAAATTGTAGCTTTTAGGCACCATCTCTCATTCCTTAAAGGTGAAAATCAGTACTCCTGAGAATAATATAACTTTAAAAACTAAAAATGAAACATCAGAAGCAAAACTCGAGCTTTTCCTTTTGTTTGTTTTAGATGCCAGGCAGCATTCAATAGGTTTAGAACCTTTTCTAAAAGCCTTTCATTTCTGCCAGCGTTTTAATATGAATTTAATTCTGCTGCCAGCTCTTCATGAAACCTACCATGTCAGAATAGAAGTTGTCCAAAGGTTCTTTTTTTCCTTTTCTTTTTTTTTTTTTTTTTTCTTTGAGACAGAGTCTCGCTGCAACATCCAGGATGGAGTGTAATGGCGCCATCTCAGTTCACTACAACCTCCGCCTCCCAGGTTCAAGCAATTCTGCCTCAGCCTCCCAAGTAGCTGGGATTACAGGCGCCCACCACCATGTCCGGCTAATTTTTGTATTTTTAGTAGAGACGGGGTTTCACCATGTTGGTCAGGCTGGTTTCAAACTCCTGACCTCAAGTGATCCGCCCACCTCAGCCTCCTAAAGTGCTGGTGGCGTGAGCCACCACATCCGGCCTAAAGGTTCTTTACCAAAAAGACTTTTACCTTCTCTGAATAGGAATCTTTAATTTTATCATTAAAGTTTCTGCAAGTTTTTAAAAACAGTGAGATGCTAGTAAACTGGGTCTCTTTCCAACTAAACCTTAAGCCCTTGGAGGGCAGTTACTGTGTTTTTACCTCCAGGCATTCCCCAGCATCGAGCATGATGAGTGATGAGTCACTAACTTTGTATTTACCTCTCTCTCCATGCCAAGGTTTTCAAACTCTTATACCAACTGTTTCCATTGTAAGTGCAAAAGAAAGAAAAAGCTAGTCCTTTACGAGCTCTATTTGGAGAGGGGATGGCTTGGAAGGAATCAAGGGACACATGGCACTTGCGTGAACAAAAATTCAAGAAAAAGACCATGCTCAGCTCTGAGAAGCTTTAGAGTTGTGGAGTGAAACACTACACACAGTGGAAAATTGTTGCTCTTGGAGTCCTTCGAATCTTCAGTTGAGTTTACAGGAATCACAAACTGCTGAATGTAACTGCCTTTATTTTGGAAAATGTTAAGAGTCAAGTCTGCATATTGGTGGGCATGGGGCCACAACTGAATTGGCCCACAAGACCATAACAGGATAAGCCAGCACTAGCAGGGGACATCTGAATCACTTAAGGTTGATTTCAGCAGACATGGCACCAATACACATAATCTATAAACAAAACCTTTTATTACAGTGCATTTATTGTAATTGAAAACATGCAGCAAGCACCATTTGAAACAATGAAGATTCAGACACATGGAAATAAGTTTTGTATCTAAAAATAAATGGATGATAAAAATTAAAGTTTTCATTTTTTTAAGGAAAAGCATATTTATTTTTGTCAAACATTTACAGTAATCTGCGTTAAAAAGCTATAGTTTTCATGATTCTGTTAAGTCTATTCTTCAAAGTATGCTATGTGAGGTTGATCTAGAGAACACTTGACCACATCTACTTCTCCACCTCCATTCTTTGCCCGTTGAAAGTGAATGTTAATTAAATCCTCCACAATTTCTTCATCCATTTGAATGCCTTCCATTCCTGTCAGAAGCACTGTCCTCTTAGATGTTCCTGAAAATATCTAAGTAGGAAAAACAATGATAAATAGAAAGATTTCTGAGAGCTTTGAATTACAAAACTTTACATTCATAATCTGCTTAATATTTTTTACTTTATCTTAGAAGAGACAAGAAATCTTAGGAAGATTTTCCAAGCAAGAGAATATCCAAGTCAGATCTGAGTTTTAGAAAGAGAACTCTGATGGCATTATGGAACATAGAGGAAAGGGGGGAAGCTCTGGGGACAGTTTTAGAAAAAGAACTCTGGTGGCATTATGGAACATAGAGGAAAGGAGGGATGCTCTGGGAACAGAAGGACCAGGTAAAGAGGTAGTCAGAAGCAGAGCTGGCAAGATTTAGTGACCAAATGAATGTTGGAGGTGAAGCAAACTGAAGAGTTAAGTGAGTTCTAGCTTTTAAGTCAGTGGACTAGGTAGATGGTGGTACCATTGGATACCTGAGAAGGAAGAGGAAAAGGCAGCAGGTCTGGGATAAAGGTACTGAGTTCAGAGGAAGTAGGCAGGAATTCTTTCTCATGCTCACTGACAGTAGACACATGAGAGAAATGCAGCTATGTCTCCATGTACAAAAATAAAAATTGTGCCATTATCTGAGTAATTCCAGTTTTTTAAATTGTATACTAAAGTACAGTTTTGCATTAAAACACTCCTTCAAAAGACAAACTCATTTTGCACTAAGCAAAAATGAAGTAAAGAAACCATTTGGCTATCCCTCATTGATAAGATTCATATAGTAACAGACTCACAACAACTTTATTTTTTGTAGGGTGGGTTTGGGCAGTAAGTTCTCAAAATGAGAGAAAAGAGATGACTTTACCTGATACTTTCTCAAGTGTATTTCTGTGTATGGAGAAACAGTAACTCTATGGCAGGTTTGATTTATATAAAGAGGATATTCTTTCTTTTTCAAAATCTTGTCAGCAACTAAAAGCAAAGCAAAAACAATACTTGTCTCTTTTATATCACAAACATTTTTAACCAAAGTTAAAACTTCCTTCAAAAAGACCACTATTACAGTAAATACTGAGTTAAAAGATTAATTTTTAAGAAATTCTAAAACCCACTTTGAAGACTTCACAGTACATAATTTTGAAAACTACAAGACCAAACAATAATGAGGTTTAAAGGCTTCATTCCATCTTGAATTATTCACTGCAGTCAATCAATGCACAAAGGGTTGCAATGTCCTCAGACAGATCTACTTTGAGCTACAAAAAATACGATAGTTTTTTGCAGAAAGTAACCCACTCATCTAACAAGACTGGAATGTTTCCCAGTTTCTCAAAAGCCATAAGTGAAAACTATGATTAGAATACTATTAAAAAAATATTTTTTCAATATATTCAATAAACTTAAGTAATGATGTTAACCAAAGCAGGGAGGGGACTGAATGTCATCTAGAAAAGCTGAAAGGAAATAAAAATTCATCAGTTTTCTACAACACAAAGAATAGTCTATTTTTTAGCAGTATTTTTGTCTCCTAGAGGGATGAAAGGATGTGTATCAAGACTGTAACGTGTAACAGAAACAGTTCTTAGGAATATCCAACCATCTTTTTTATGACTCTTCTCACTCATCTACCTTGGATCAATCAGCAATACGGTACGATGATTAAGAGTGTAGGCCCTTATTGGCGAGGATATGGAGAAATTGCAACCCTGAGGCATTGCTGGTAGGAATGTAAAATGGTACAGCCACTGTGGAAAACAGTATGACAGTTCCCCAAAATATTAAAAATAGAACATGATATGATCCAGCAATTCAACTTCAGGGTATATACCCGAAATAACTGAAAGCAGGGACTCGGGCAGATACTTGCTCATTAATGCTCAGAGCAGTATTTTTCACAATAGGCCAATAGGCAAAAGGTGGAAGTAACCCAAGTGTCCACCAACAGATGAATAGATAAACAAAATGGATATATAAAATACACACACACACACATACACACACACACACGGAGAATATTATTCAGCCTTTAAAAAGGATGAAATTCTGATACCTACCACAACATGGATGGACCCTGATAACATTATGCTAACCAAAATAAGACAGACATGAAACGGACAAATATTGTATAATTCCACTCGAGTGAGGTACCTAGAATAGGCAAATTCATAGCAACAGAAAGTAGAATGGTGGTTACCAGGGGCTAGAAGAAGAAGTAATGGAGAATTATTGTTAAATGGGTACAGAGTTTCAGTTTGGGGTGATTAAAAAGTTCTAGAGATGGATAGTGGTGATGGCTGTACAACATTGTGAATGTACTTAGTACCTTTGAATTGTATATTTAAAAATTGTTAAAATGGTAAATTTTATGTTATATATATTTTATCACAGTTTAAAAAAAAAAAAAAAAGAGTACAGGTCCTGAGTCAAATAGTCCAGCTTCAGTCCTAGCTCTGCTACTTATGAGCTATATGGCCTTGGACATGTTGCTTGACTTCTTAAAGTCTCAGTTTCCTTTTCTGTAAAATAAGCATAATTACAGTAACTACCCTGTAGATTATTGTGATGAGTCAGTAAGACACAGTTTATGAAGTATCTGGAATATTTATCTCCAGAATACCTTCATATCCTTCAATAGTTACCTATAGGATCACCTATAACCTGCAAAAGTATTCTTCCCCGTCTGGCTAGATGTAACCTCTAGGAGAGCATCCCCAGATGGACACAGGTTCCATAGCTAGTACTATCTCTCATAGTAGAGTTATAAATTGCATTCTAGTTTATTTTATTTTATTTTATTTGGTTTTTTTTTTTTTTGAGACCGAGTCTCGCTCTGTCACCCAGACTGGAGTGCAGTGATGCAATCTCGGCTCTCTGCAACCTCTGCCCCTCAGGTTCAAGCAATTCTCCTGCCTCAGCCCCCCAAGTAGTTGGGACTATAGGGGTGGGACAGCACATCGGCTAATTTTTGTATTTTTAGTGGAGATGGGGTCTCACGATGTTGGCCAGACTGGTCTTGAACTCCTGGCCTCAACGGATCCACCCGCCTCAGCCTCCCAAAGTGCTGGGATTACAGGCGTGAGCCACTGCGCCTGGTCAGATTTTTTAAAATCCAGGATAAGACAAACTAACAGCAAATAGGCTAAATGAATATAGGAATTTGGCAAATTAAAATCTGGATGCTTGACTATGGAAATTTCCACCAAGTTACTGTTAATTTTCAAGACAACATATTATGGTAGCCCTCAAGACCCCTTCCTTTTGTAGCTCTCCCTAACACATCCCACCAGGATGTCCTAAACATCATCCAAAAGCTCAGGTCAAAAATGCACATTGGGCCGGGAGCAGTGGTTCACGTTTGTAATCTTAGCACTTTGGGAAGCCAAGGCGGGTGTATCACTTGAAGTCAGGAGTTTGACACCAGACTGACCAACATGGTGAAACCCTGTCTCTACCAAAAATACAAAAATTAGTCAGGCATGGTGGCATGCACTTGTAATTGCAGCTACTCGGGAGGCTGAGGTGGGAGAATTGCTTGAACCAGGGAAGCGGACGTTGCAGTGAGCTCCGATAGTACCACTGCACTCTAGCCTGGGCGACAGAGCAAGACTCTGTCTCACAAAAAAAGAAAAAAAAAAAGCATATTGATATTGTTTTAATGTGTCCAAAGAAAGACCTGGAAAGACACCGAAATAACCATAACGAACTAAATAGTAGGAGAAAGGGAAGTTTGAGAAAATGTCTCTCTCTTTTTTTTTTTTTTTTTTTTTTTTGAGACGGAGTCTCACTCTGTCACCCAAGCTGGAGTGCAATGGTGCAATCTCGGTTCACTGCAACCTCCACCTCCCGGGTTCAAGCTGTTCTCCTGCCTCAGCCACCCAAGTAGCTGGGATTACAGGCGAGCGCCACCACACCGGCTAATTTTTTTGTATTTTTAGTAGAGACGGGGTTTCACCATGTTAGTCAGGCTGGTCTCAAACTCCTGACCTCATGATCTGCCTGCCTCGGCCTCCCAAAGTGCTGGGATTACAGGCATGAGCCACTGGGCCCGGCTGAAATGTCTCATTTTTACTAAATGTGTGTTCTGTATTATTTCACCCTCTTTAAAAAAGCATGTATTACTTTGTCATGAAAAAATCTAATCCATCAATTTTCTTTTTTAATTTTGTTTTTTGAGACAGTGTCTCACTCTGTCTCCCAGGCTGTAATGCAGTGGTGCAATCACAGGTCACTGCAGCCTCGACCTCCTGGGCTCAAGTAATCCTCCCTCTTCAGCCTCCTGAGTAGCTGGGACCACAGGCATGCACCACTATGCCTGGCTATCTTGGCTCACTGCAACCTCCACCTCCGGGTTCAAGCGATTCTCCCTGCCTCAGCCTCCCGAGTAGCTGGAATTACTGGCACCTGCCACCATGCCCAGCTCATTTTTGTCGTTTTAGTTGAGATGGGGTTTCGCCATGTTGGACAAGCTGGTGTCGAATTCCTGACCTCAAGTGATCTGCCTGCCTCGGTCTCCCAAAGTGCTGGGATTACAGGGGGAGCCACCGCACCCTGCCTATCTGCAGCAATATTATTGTTCCTAGCACTGTCCCTAGAAATAATTTCCTACACTCTACTATTTTATAAGATTTTTTTAAATCCCCAATTATCATGCTAATACATTCCAAATAAAAGAAGTAGAATAGGAATACTTTCAGAAACAACAGAACATGACTGAAATGGCAGAGCGTCTGTTAACCTTCTACACCCTTGAGTACCTCCAGTCTCCACGAACGTGATGACCGCACTCCCGGACTGTCTGTCATAGTCCACGTGGTCCACCTCTCCACCTCCATTTCGGGACTTACAAAAGCTCAGCTCTAGTTTGTCTCTCATCTGATCTTCAGGCAGTGTGTCAGGAATTTCAGTAACATTGATTTTCATTTTAGAAACTTCTACATAAACCTGGAAAATGATTTGATGTTCAGAAATATGGATAAGAGAAGTGCCTATGATGAACAGAAATCCAAAAAATTTTAATCATCCTGTTACCTGGAATCTGACTCCTGAGTTTAATGGGACAGGCTTGGCCGTAATCTCCAGATTTACATCTTTTATCCGCACCTGATGTTTACTCATGCTTACCACATTTTGGGCAACTGAAAAATAATTCGGGAAGGAAGTATTAATTTCCAATATTTTAAGAATTGTTATGCTTTTGGTTTAAGAACAAATTATCCTGAATATTTTTAATTTTCTTTAATATTAAAGAGTCTAATTTAAAAAATTTGGCAGGGGGTGGTTCCAAGTGATAATGGTCTTGCCACCAAAATAGAATATATATTTTGGGGGGTCAGGGAGAAGGGGGACCGGATCTCACACTGTCACTGAGGCTGGAATGCAGTGGTGTAATCATAGCCCACTGTAACTTCAAACTCCTGGGCTCAAGAGATCCTCCCACCTCAGCTTCCAGAATAGCTAGGATTACAGATACATGCCACCACGCCTAGCTAATTTTTTAAACTTTTTGTAGAGACGAGGTCTCACTTTGTTGCCCAGGCTGCCCTGGAACTCTTGGACTCAAGTGATCCTCCCACAGCAGACTCCCAAAGTACTGAGATTACAGGCATGAGTCACTGCTCTTGGTTCCAAAGTAGAATATATTAATGTCAAAGTACATCAGCAAAATCACAATGTAGAAGTTCTCAAGTTCTAGATTCACCTCATAAGATGAATCTTTTCTCTTATCTCTTAAGAGATAAGCCTAACGATCTTCCAGAATTCATATATTACTTCAGCTCAGCCACATACCCTTCCTTCCACTGTTAACCATTACCAGAGGATTCCTCTAGTACATTAATGCACAGCCAGAAATTCTCCCATGTTCAGTAAGCTGGGAAAACTTTCATGGCTAAGTGTCATTTGTACAATTAGTCTTGATTTTACTTAACCTTATCATTTGTTACTCCTTCATGTTACAAGCACTAGAGCAATATATATTCATTTTCTTTGTCTCCTCAAAGGTTACATGTTAAAGACTACATAGGCTGGAATATCAAAGGGTGAGTCTTTTTTTCTGTCATACTTAATGATGAATTTCACTTTTGCAAAAATACTCTTGAAATCATTCTTTAAAAAGTTGATAGTCCTGCTATATTGATCACAAAGCCATCAAGTCTAATTTACCTATGCAAATGGGAGCAGTTTAGTAAAATGCTAAAAGTCACTAGCACTCCAAAAAGCAACTCTATGTCAATTAAAAATGTGAGTGGGCATTTATTTTTAATTGTGTGGCATGAGTTTATAACACTTCACTTGTTGATATTTGGGACTGCTATTCCAATGTATCATGAAAATAAGTGACATTCACTCTCTGTCTTATAAAATCTCATATGTGTTTATGACAACCAGACCAGATGGCACCACATCACAGCTGGAGGAAGAGAAAAAAAGGGCCAGAAGGCAGGGCTTTGGCCATGTGGGAATTCAACTCAATGTACCAAAATATGACTCTATAACTTGGATGATGGTTTTTTGTTATTTTGTGTTTTTGTGTTTTTTTGCTAATGACAACAGACAGTAACAGAAAATATCAATGAGTAATACTCAGATGATCCTCTTTCCCTCCCACTCCTCCGCAAACCCCCAACATCTGGTGATCTGATGCAGCTGAGAGGGACCTCTTGTGTTTCAACTTTTGTGACTCTGACAATCAAGAGCCAACTCCTACTTAATTGTGTTTCAAACCTATTGCTGTCCCAGGAGATTGGGAGCTCAGAGCCTCGTCAAGGGTAGAAGCAATGATGTAGGTGCTTCTTTAGAGAATTCCATTTCCAACATTCCCAGGAAATTGCTGTGCAGAAACCCTGCCTCCCAAATCCTCATTTATATCTATCTTTTAGTTATATCCCGTTTACCAGGGACAGTCACCAATATGAGTCCTGAACTCCTCTTCTACCTGTAGCAGTAGCTCCAGGGTGAAGGAAAACACACTGGTGATGTATGTCTTCTACATGCAGATACTGACCTGCTGGACATTTATTTTCAGGCTACAGTGGTGCACCAGTTGTCAGGAAACATGGGTTATAGACTGTCAGAAAATGAGCACTGGAAGGGCTGGGAACACCATCTGGTCCCTCACCACATAACTTAATAAAAGAACAAAGGCCTGGGCTGGTGGCCTACCGAGAGAAATATTGGCCCAGTGGAAGTACATGGACTCTCAGGGTTTGGCTCTCAGCTCTGCAATTAACTGTAAAGACTTTAACCAAGTTACTTATCTTCTTTAAGTTTCTGTTTCCTTATCTGAAAAAGTCCTAACATGTAGCAATAATAACAACTACCATTCATTAAGTTTGTATTAAGTGTCCGACATTGTGTGAAGTATTTTATCAACATTTCTCATTTAATACTCAAAGCAGCCTCATGAAGTAGGAACTACCATGAAGCACCTGTATAAAACGCTGAGGTTTATAAAGAACCCATCCCAAATCATGCTTCTAGGAAGGGACAAGGCTGGCACTCAAAGCCAGATCCTCCCCATTCAGGAACCCCCAGCTCGGACTAGGGACCCTCACCATGGCAGACTTAGCAAACATCAGGTCTCATCCCAAATCTCTAACTCCCAGGCTCTTTCCATTCGTCGGCTATGTGCCCTTAGGTAAATCACTTAAACATCCTCAGAATCTGTTTTCTGGGCTCTGGCATGTCTATATTTAAAGTACACAATAATAACTATCCTATCCTCCTACATTTATGGAATTGTGTGAATATAAGATGTGATAATGTGGCCAGGTGCGGTGGCTCAAGCCTGTAATCCCAGCACTTTGGGAGGCCAAGACGGGCGGATCACGAGGTCAGGAGATAGAGACCAGCCTGGCTAACACGGTGAAACCCTGTCTCTACTAAAAAATACAAAAAACTAGCCGGGCGAGGTGAGGGGCGCCTGTAGTCCCAGCTACTCGGGAGGCTGAGGCAGGAGAATGGCGTGAACCTGGGAGGCGGAGGTTGCAATGAGCTGAGATCCGGCCACTGCACTCCAGCCTGGGCAACAGAGCGAGACTCCGTCTCAAAAAAAAAAAAAAAAAAAAAAAGATGTGATAATGTTTCTGAGAACTGTACAAGCTCTACTACCTTGATATATTACTATCATTATTTGGAGGTAGCATGTGGAGTAGAAAGAGGCTGGTATTGGACATCATCATAACACCTGGATTTAAGTCCCACAGTCATGGCTTTCTGAATAAGAGATCATATTCAAGGCACTTGTCTCAGAGTCAGTTTTCTCATCTGTAAAATGGGAATAATCATACCTGCCTCCGAATGTCACTATGAGGATAAGAAATAATATAAGCAAAGTAATATTAGTGAAGTAATAGCTAAATGTCTATGAAAGTGCTTTCCAAATAACATCGTCATATTTTTTAACATTAGTCATACCTTCTTCTTTTTCAAAGGTGATAAGTGCTTGTCCCTTTTGTAGCTCATAAGGAACTTTCGAGCTCACTTGAAATGAACAGGAGATATTTGACAACTGGCTGTCATTCTCAGGAGTTTCAACTGATAAGAATTTCATCTTTGTTTCAGGAATATCCTCTTTAATCTAATCCAAATGAAAATGTTTGATTAAAATCAAGACAAGAAATAACTTAAGTTCTTCCAATGATAATGTAATTTGGTCAACCAATAATTCATTCCCCACTGATTTTAGAACCTTATAGAATATTGAGTATGGTCTTACTTAACATCTTTAGTAATTGCTTTTTCCCATGTAAGTACTCAGTAAAGTAATCAAATGCTGATCTTTTAATATCATTTCACAGATGAAATTAAAAATACATAATCCTCTCACTTTTTTCTAATCAATGTTTAAACTGTCAATATTGTACGGTGTTCAATTCTAAAGCCTACATCATTCATGTAAATAAGGAATTTTTAAACAAGTGTCAATAACAGACTATCTCAAAAGGAAGTCATTAGATAGCATGTTTAATTTTGCTGCAAAGTATGAAATATAGTGTTGGGTATAATATGGTATTTCAAATCCAGATAATTTCATCCAAAAAGAAAGACTCCAGAATTAGGTAACTTTATTTATTTATTTATTTAGAGACAAAGTCTCACTCTGTTGCCAGGCTGGAGTACAGTGGTGTGATCTCGGTTCACTGCAACCTCCATCTCCCTGGTTCAAGCAATTTTCCTGCCTCAGTCTCCCAAGTAGCTGGAACTACAGGCATGCGCTACCACACCCAGCTAATTTTCGTATTTTGTATTTTCAGTAAAGACAGGGTTTCACCATGTTGGCCAGGATGGTCTCAATCTCTTCACCTCATGATCCACCTGCCTTGGCCTCCCAAAGTTCTGGGATTACAGGCGTGAGCCACCACACCTGGCCTAGAATTAGATGATGTTAAATTTATCAAATTTACAAATTCCACCTTCCCCAACACCTGCCCATCAACTTTTTAACCATTACCACAACTTAGGTTCATAAAAAACGAGAAGGGACAGTATCAACAAAAATTGTAAGCTGAGGCTGGGCAGGTGGCTCACACTCGTAATCCCAGCACTTTGGGAGGCCGAAGCAGGCAGATCACCTGAGGTCAGGAGTTGGAGACCAGCCTGGCCAACATGGTAAAACCCGTCTCTAATAAAAATACAAAAGTTAGCTAGGCGTGGTGGCAACCGCCTGTAATCCCGGCTATTCAGGAGGCTGAGGCAGGAGAATCGCTTGAACCAGGGAGGCAGATGTTGTAGTGAACCGAGATCGCACCATTGCACTCCAGCCTGAGCAACAAGAACAAAACTCTGTCTCAAAAACAAACAAACAAACAAAAAAATTGTAACCTGAAAGATAAAGGTAGGTCGTTACACTTAGCCGCTTAGAATTATTGGGATTAACAGATTTGTATAACCACACATAAAAGCACAAATGAGCTAGGTGCTTGCATTTCTATTTCCCATGGTTATTTTACATGCTGAAAATGACAGAGATGAGAAATATTCAGTGAGTCATTCGATTTAATCTTACATTTATTCTTTGCCTGTACACATAACTCCAGTGGAACTTCTGATTACGGTAAGGCTGACATCAAAACAATCTACAATGTCTGAGAAAAGGCAGACTGTTACCCAATAATGCAGAAATACCCAGTATATGCTGAGGAACCAAGGCCTTTCTGAAATTAGAGTGAGAAAGCTTGATTCTATTTCTGACCACACTGTGACAGAGCAAATTCACTTCAGCTCTCTGATCATGGGTTCGGTCCCCTGCAAAGTGGGTGGACTAAGGCTGGCTGGTTTCTAAAGGCTCTCTGGGTTGTAAGACTGCATGATTCTAGCTCCAGTCTGAGAAGTAACCAGAATCTTAACAGAGTCTTCTGCAAAGTCACCCATCTCATAAACACAGAAAACCTCACTTCCTGATATTCAATGTCCTATCTCCCACTTCAGAAACAAAAAGAGTCAATGTTTTAATTTTTTTTTTTTTTTTTTTAGGCGGAGTCTCGCTCTGTCACCCAGGCTGGAGCACAGTGGCGCAATCTCAACTCACCGCAACCTCCGCCTCCCAGGTTCAAGCAATTCTCTGCCTCAGCCTCCCAAGTAGCTGGGATACAGGCACCCGCCACCATGCCCGGCTAATTTTTTTTTTTTTTTTTTTGTATTTTTGGTAGAGACGGGGTTTCACCATCTTGGTCAGGCTGGTCTTGAACTCCTGACCCCATGATCCACTCGCCTCAGCCTCCCAAAGTGCTGGGATTATAGACATGAGCCACCACGCCCAGCCTGAATGCTTTAATTTTTTAACAATCTGAGTTGTTAAGAAAAAGTAATAGATTAAGAAAGATCATCAGAATGGGATGAAATTATAAAAAAAAAAAATACGGAATTATATATGAGTGAGCAGGAATGGTAAGGAGGATTAGTGATGAATGCCATATACTGGACAAAATGTTCAAAAAAAAAAAAAAAAAAAAAAAAAGAAAATATATAAAAATAGGAATAGAGAATTTAAATAGTGAGGATTAATATATGTCCAATTTTTTAAACTGTGAAACTCATTTAAATTAGCAAAGCACCTTGGATGAGAATAATAATAAAAGAACTCAGTGAGAAAAGCCAGAATTTGATCCAACAGTGATTTGCTAATGATCATCTTTTTTTGGTAAATTTTATTAATGTTTGCTTTGGTAAATTTATTAAAGTGTATAAATAATAGAAAAATGCATGTATCATAAGTACAGCAAGATGCAATTTTACAAAGCTAACACATATGTGATTGGCACACAGATGACAGGCAGAACATGACAACACTCCAGAAACTCCCTTGGGTCCCCTTCCGGGTCTTACCTGCTTCCAAAAGTAACCACTGTTTTAACTTCGAACATCCTGCTTTTGCTTAATTTAAAGGGAAGCATATGGTACGCCCTCATCTGTCTTTTTTGTGTTAACATTGTGTTTATGAAACTCATTTGTGTTGCTGCATGTCGTTATGATCTGTTCGTTCTCATTGCTGTGTAGTTTTCTATCATATGACTATACCCCACTTCACTAACTCATCTATTATGAAGGAATCATTGGGTTGTTTTCCATTTTGAACTATTACAAATGGTGGTGCCATGGATGATAAGGTTTTAAAAATGAATTTTATATAATTAAAATGCTTTTTCCAAAAACCATGCGTCCATCAAAAATGTAGTGTATAAAATAATTAAGAGAGTACCTGGAATTCTCTGGTAGCCTCTTGTAACTCCGTTTCGAGCTTTTGGATCTCCTTCTTTAGTTGAATATTTTCCTTTGTCATTTCATCAATTAGTTCCTTAAAAATATCAAACGGTACCAAAGAAAGTAAATAGCCCCAAACTCATTTTTCTGAATGAACTAAAGACTATAAATTTCTCTCATCCTGAGCAAAGAAAGACATTAGACAGTCTCAGAATATGACTATGTGCATAATGCGTTTGTTGAATATTTTACATCATCACCTGTCCATTCTAACATTGCCAACTAGTACTATCTCCATCATATAAATCAGGAAACCACCTTTTACACTAGGCCAAAGTCACAGAAATTTGTATAGTAAGGCAAAGATTGAGATCAGATCTTCTGAATATTACTTCAGTGCTGCATCAACTCCTTTCTTAGCTATTTGTGACCACGATAAGACTTTTAAATTGCACTGTAATAGCGGACATATTCTGGGGCAGTTTGTTGTTGGTGGTGGTGGTGGTGGTGTTTTTAATTATCTGTGATTCCCATAGTATCCCATAGTACACAGCTGCCTTAACAAGCCAGACATATGACCTTGGGGAAGTAGTTTAATCTACCTGGCCTCTGTTCCCTCTTGGGGTCTAATGAGATACTTGCTAACTGTGCTCTTAACTTGTTGATGCAAATCCAAGAAATGAGGGTGTGAGTGAGAAAGCAGCTAGTGTTGTAAGCCTTATATGAGAAAGAATAAAAATACGACACTTCTTGTAAGACTTAAATAACATAATGGAAGTTAAAAAATTTTTTAAAGCCTAACAGCCTCCCAAATTCAAGGTAATGTTGGACAAAGACATACAAAACATGCCTTACTGCAAAACTAATAGATATAAATTAATTTTTAATAATACCCAGTAATTTCCTTTTTACCTTATTTTGTTCATCTTTTATAAATTCATGTGGCCCATGCTCCTTAAGAACTTGTTGTGTGTTGTCTTTATCAGCTTCCATGATTCCCTAACATTATAAAAAATAAATATTGTAAGCATAGCATATATACACAAATTTCAGAACAAAGAAATAACAACTTTTACCCTTTTATGGAAGAAACATCTCTCTTCTTTGCTATATCTTTTTTCCTATCATCAAAGGCTTTATTCTCATATGGCTTATATCCAAACAAAGTCTGTATTTCAATAACTCCTTTTTTTTTTTTTTTTTTTTTGAGACAGAGTCTCACTCTGTCGCTCAGGCTGGAAGGCAATAGTCTGATCTCGGCTCACTGCAATCTCTGCCTCCCAGGTTCAAGAGATTCTCCTGCCTCAGCCTCCCAAGTAGCTGGGATTACAGCTACCTGCCACCATGCCCAGCTAATTTTTGTATTTTTAGTAGAGATGGGGTTTCACCATGTTTGTCAGGCTGGTCTTGAACTCTTGTCTTCAAGTGATGCGCCCCCCTCAGCCTCCCAAAGTGTTGGGATTACAGGTGTGAGTCACCACCACGCCTGGCCACTATTTCAAATAACTTTCACATCTATAATATGTAAAAAGATTCTAAAAATCCTTTGCTTTTCAACAAAATAATATACAGAAACTAATGAACATTAATGTTCCTTTGTAGTTCATATTCCAATCATAATATCATGCTCCATTTTAAAAGAATACTATTTTGGTTTTCCAACATTTTTCAAAGGTTTTGATTAAAATATTTAATTCTCCCTATTGTTCTCCCCAAATATAAACAAAGTCAAAGTCAAGAGGCCTCCAACATATGCTTTCTCTACACAGGTGTTCTCACCTGGAGCTTTCACTAACTCTCCCGCTGGGTCCATAAACATGGATTGGGAAGAAATTACATGTTTATTTCTAATAACCTCTAATTGAAGCTTAGCATTCTCTTCAATTATGAATATTGTAACAAACTATAGTAGTATTCACAGCACCTGTGATAGTCACCAGTAGAAAGCACAGTTTCATAGAATATTGTTGCAGATATGCTAAAATAGTTTGTGTCTAACGTTGCTTCCACATTAGTTACTAAGCTCAACACTAGGTCTTGTAATACATTGTAATACATTGATATATATCACTATATCAAACATTTGCTTTTAAAATAGTCTGATAACCATATTTTAATACAATTGATTTCTGGCCAGGCGCAGTGGTTCACGGCTGTAATCCCAGCACTTTGGGATGCCAAAGCAGGTGGATCATGAGGTCAAGAGTTTGAGACCAGCCTGACCAACATGATGAAACCCCATCTCTACTAAAAATACAAAAAAGAATTAACTGGGCGTGGTGGCAGGTGCCCATAATCCCAGCCATATTTCAATACAATTGATTTCCTTTGTAATTCTAAGTATTTTATTTTATGCATTTAATGTTTTGTTTTGTTTTTTTTTTAGATAGGGTCTCACTTTGTTGCCCAGGCTGGAGTGCAGTAGGGCACGAACACGCTCACTGCAGCCTCAACATCCCAAGCTCAAGTGATCCTCCCACCTCAGTCCCCCAAGTAGTTGGGACTACAGGTGTGCGCCACCATGCCCAGCTAATTTTTGTATTTTTTGTAGAGATGGGTTTTCGCCAAGTTGCCTAGACTGGTCTCGAACTTCTGGGCTCAAACAATCCGCCCCCCTTGGACTCCCAAAATGCTGGGATAGGCCACCATGCCTGCCCCCACCAAATTTTTTTTTTTTTTTTTTTTTTTTTTTGGAGAAAGGCCCATAGGATTTGCCAAGCTGGCAAAGGAATCCATGGTACAAAAAATTTAAGAACTCTTGCCTACATATGAAATTACTGAGATGAAAAACTCCCGGATCAAAAATGGGACAAAGGATATCACGATTCTATGTTTTTAGATACACATTAATAAACAGTCTGCAATATAATTTTCCAAGATTTCAAGTGGCTAAATTCTCAATATTCTTGAAAGAGAAATAAAAGACATCTATTCCTCCTTAAAAATAAAATAGAAGACTAGCAAATACTTAGCCATGTCTCAGTTTAGTTAGAAGAGTGTCAAAAAAAAAAAAAAAAAAAAAAAGAGGAGAGTTGCATAACACCCAGATCTTGGTTTCTAATAATATTCTTCAATATAAGAAACCAGGGCTCATTGGAGCAATGGCTGATTCTGGGTCTGGGGCATAAAATATACAAAATAAGCCTGGAATATCTTGTAGAGCTAGAAAAGTAAAAAGCACTAAAACACATGCACAGACACATACAATATGATGGGAGTATGTGAAAGGGACATGGGGAGCCAACTGAAAGACCTCCAGTGGCCAAAGGTACATACAGATAATAGGAGCCAAGTTTTTCACCATTGAGAAGATAATTATAAATATGGAAAGGGAGAAAACAAGAATAAATACTGTTGATTGGAACTAGATTTCAATGTAATCCTATGGCTGTGGTTTCTGATTGATGAGATAGATAGATAGATAGATAGATAGATAGATAGATAGATAGATAGATAGAATGAAATAAATGCCTGTGTGTGATTACCTGGGTGTGGTGGCACATGCCTGTAATCCTAGCTACTTGGGAGGCTGAGGCAGGAGAATCACTTGAACCCTGGAGCTGGAGGTTGTAGTGAGCTGAGATTGAGCCACGGCACTCCAGCCTGGGCAACAGAGTGAGTCTCCGTCTCAGGAAAAAAAAAAAAAAAAGAAATGCCTATCTGTGTATTTTGGATATATACAAATATGTATATACCCTAGTTCTGTCTGTTGAGAAGGCCTGGGAGAGTAGATACAACCCCAATGAGCAATGAGCACACTCAGCACCCAGACTTTGGTTTCTAATATTATTCTCCACTAAAAGGAACCAGGACTCTTTAGAGAAATGGTTGATCCCAAAACCAGGACGGAAAAACTGCAAGATGAGCCTGGGACATCTTATGATGCCAAAAAGTAAGGAAATGCTTAAAGAATGATGACATGTTGGAAGGACACAGAATCCACCTTGAGATGGTTTTCAGTGGCCAAATCTGGGGATAAATTAAAGATTAAAATAGAGAATGGTAGTAATGATTAAATCTATTGATTAAAGTAAAAAACTGAGTCCAGATAAATTAGAAATGTTGGTGAAGAAAGGAATTTTTAGTTACCTTCAAAATAGTTCCCCACAAAATGTTTATTAATTCCAAAGAAGAAAAGAGTAACTTTATACTGGAGAAGTCTGGCAGACATCAACATAACGAGATAATCAAAGTAAATGATGGAATAAATCAAAATAACGAAACATATTACAAGGTGCACTGAGAACACAATGTAACTTCGACAATAGTCCTGCCAAAGATGCATAATCTGAATCTAAGCATGAAGAAACATCAGACAAACTCAAATTGAGGGGTTCTACAATACAACTGCCCTGTTCTCTTCAAAAGCTTCAAGTTCAGAAGGCCAAGGAAAGACTAAGAAATGTTCACACTGAAGAGGACTAAAGACACATCACAACTAAATAGAAAGCATGATCCTCAACTGGATCCTTTTGCTATCATTGGGGCTCAGACACTGATACCCTGAAGTATGGCACTTTGACATCCTGAACTGAAGATGGCTCAAGGTCTCTCTGACCTCCCCCTCCTCCTCTGTGTCTCCCAAAGCACAGCATGAAGGTGCACTGATGTTTTCTTATCTGCCTAATTGTGGGACCTGACAGAAAACAGAACAATTACCTCTAGTCCCTTCCCTGAGTTTTTATTCTGAATTCATATCACAGAAAGAAGACTGAAGTCTGTCAACAAACCTGGACAGATACGTGTTACAACCACTGTCTGCTCTGCAAGCCCAACAGGCTTTGTACAAGGCCATTGTGTGTTCTTCGATTCCCTTGAATTCCCTTAGAAATCATTTACTAACCCCCTATAATCACCCACGATTCCCCATCTCCCTTTCCCCTAAAAAGTAGGGAATATAACCATCTGTACCCCATTGTGCAGTACAAGCACTATGTGATTTTTTCCCCTGTGCACATTAATAAATGTGTATGCCATTTCTCCTATTTAATCTGCCTTTGCCCTTCAGAGAGCAAAGAGGAAGTTTTCCCTTGACCCCTACACTATCCAAGACATTATCAGGACAACTGGTGAAATTCACATTGGATCTGATTATTAAATTGTAGTAAGGTAGCACTCCACATTCCTGATTTTGATGACGGTATTGTGGTTACGTTGGAGCACATCTTTTTTGTAGGAAATATATACTCAATTATATAATGATGATAGGTCACCAGATTGGAAATTTATTCTTAAATAATTTAGGAAAAGGAAAAGTTGTTTTACTGTACTTGCAACTTTTCTGTAAGTTTGAGATGGTTTGAGACGATATATATATATACACACACACATATATACACACACATATATACATATATATATTTAAACCATGTCTCTCTCTATCTCTGACACATACACACACACACAGAGCATACATATATATCGCTATTGTATCAACTGCAAAATCTTCCTAATGGTCAGCCATGGTCTGCTGCATTCTAACTCCAACTCACTTTCCAGTCTTATTTAGTCAATTCCTCAACCCAGTTCCCTAACCACACTGAACACGTGCATAGTTCCTTTTCTTTCCTCTGTCCCTCAAACTGTCACATCCTTCCTCCTCTCCTAACCTTAATCTCCATCTAATGAAATCTTACTCTTCTTCAAGGTCCATTCCAAATTTTCCCCAAGTTCCCAAAGCCTTTTCTGATTCCCCTAAAGGATGTTACTCCGCCTCCTTTGTCTCTTTTGTGGCACTTTAATTATGTGTGTACCTGTGTCATTTTCCATGACACGTCAGTAAAGATGTTGAGGGCTGGGACCATGTCTACTCCTCCCTGCAGACCTTCAGAGCACTTTCTCAGTATAAGCTTACACACTGAAAACACTCAATTTAGATAATTATGTGGGATCTTCAGTATTTGTTGGACTCAGGACGTCAAGTGCATATGAAGTCCTCATTACATTTCAGAAGACACAAACTGCAATGTTATTTAGTTGCTTTTTATCTTTATTATTGTGACAATGCCAATCTTCCTAAGAGCCTGTAATAAAGGTTCTCAGCATAAATGGCCTACTGTCTAACACCCCAAGAACGCTTTTGGCATCTTTACCGTCTGGATACTTTTGCTCTACGCATGAGTGGGATGTATGGTCATTCCTTTTATGCAATCATGTAGTAGGCAAAACAATGGCTCCCTCAAAGATGTCCACATCCTAATCCCAAGAATCTGTGATTACGTTTGTTTACATTGCAAATGCGAATGAAGGCTGCAGATTGAATTAAGGTTGCTAATCAGCTTGCTTTTAAATATGGAGAGAATCCTGGATTACCTGTGGGGGCCCACTGTAATCATGAAGATACTTAAAAGTGAAAGCGGAAGACAGAAGAGAGTCAAGAGTGCGATGTGAACCCAGAACTCTCAGAGGTGCAAAGTTGCTGGCCCTGCAGATGGAGGAAGGGCTACTGAGCCAAATGAGGTAGGTGACCTCCGGAAGATGGAAAGGGGATTCACCCCAAGAGCTTCCAGAAAGGAAGGCAACCCTGCCAACACTTTGATTTTAACCCAGTGAGACCTCGGTAGGACTGCTACGGAATCCTAAGATAGTAAATTGTGTGTGTGAGAGTGTGTGTATGTATGTGTGCGCGCGCGCGTTCCTATGTGTTTAAGCCACTAAATCCATGTAATTTGTTATGGCAGCGAATAAAAAAAAAAAACTAATACAAATCACCATCACCGTATTTCCCTAAGTATAGTCATATCACTGCGGTGCCAGGCCGTGTAGAATCGAATCTTCCTATATGCATGCCCGGCAGCAAAAAGAAAGAAAGGCAATAGAGCGCCTGCCTGTTGTACAGACTGGAAACATAGTATTCTCCTTAGGATGTCTCCTTCAAGAAAAACCTTGCCTATTCTGAAATGCCAGCCATGAACGCACAACACTGCCCCTGCCAAGAACCGTTTTCTTAAGAAATCCATTTTCCTGTAATCCTAGCTACTTGGGAGGCTGAGGCAAGAGAATCACTTGAGCTGAGGAAGCGGAGGTTGCTGTGAGCTGAGATCGCGCCATTGCACTCCAGCCTGGGCAACAAGAGTGAAACTCCGTCTCAAAAAAAAAAAAAAGAAAAAAAAAGAAATCCATTTTCCGAAGAACTATCTCTAGAGAAACTTCGAGAAAACAGCGAGGAAACACAAATAACTTTATGTTTCAATTTCCTGAATGAAGCAAAGCAAACAAGTGACAGGGCTCGAAGCCCTGACGGCCCAGAGACTACACAGCGGGCCCAGGAGCAGGTGCGCCCCCTCGAAGGCGGCGTGGCCTCTGCAACCCGCCTGCGGGAAGCTCCCGGGAGCAGGATCTCAACCCTGGCGCTGTCCCACTCCCGTCGGCGCTGAGGTCCCCCGCCTCCCTTTCCACCTCCGCTCTCCAGCCCGGGAATGCCAGCGGCGGGAGTGGCAGCCGGGAAACGGACTCCCCACTCACCCGCGTCCGCCCGCCGAGCGCAGCTCGCCGAGGCCCAGCGCGCCCGCTCTTCCCGGAAAACAGCAGCGCCCGGGACGCCGGAACCCCCGGAGGCACTGGGAGGGGAAGGACCGGGCTGTCGTAACTGGTGCTGCCTCCTGCAGTAGCGCCTCGGGAGAACTGGGGTGTAGTTCTGAGGAGGTGGGCCTCGCAGGAACAGCTCAGGTCCCTGCGAAAGGAAAAAGTGAAAAAGAAAACTGCTTTAACGGCGATTTTTCTTTAGCACTTAACCACTGCTCAAATACTAAATCTGGTGTCTCCCATGATGATGAGTCACTAACAGAAAAAAAAAAGTTAGAACTAATTTCACTTTCGATTTTTAAAAAGGGGTGGTTTTGCGGAGAAAAGCAGAAGTATCCCTGAAGTTTCTGTACACACTAATTTTAGGGAATGTTTTCTAAAACCAGTTTTTGCATGTATTTTACAAGGCATGTAGGAAAAGTGGATAGAAACCAAACAAAGTCAAAGCAGGAATCGCTCTTCAGATTGTAACTCTTGTAATTTCTTAGTCATTGTAGCACTAGTTTATAAATTTTTACAGCCAGCACAAGATCGGCGTTTCTGTGTCTTTGGTAACATCCCCCGGGCCATGAAGTTGGGAAAGCTGTGGTGTTCCTGTTGGTTTCTATGACCCGTGTCCCTTGAAAGTTTTCTTAAAATCTCTTGTTTTGTTGTGGAGCTTGTAAATAAATCCTTCACTAGGTGTGAACTTTTCCTTTGAAAATTCAAACATCTGCTTTATTTCAAGAACTGCAGTGTCTCTTAATCCCACACAAAGAACCACCCCACAGCTGCCCCTGCTGATAAATACAGATGTGGAAAGAAAATGAATCAAAATGATTTCAAGGCATAAATTCTAGGTTATCATGCTTCCTAGTCACATATAATAACTGATATAGTTGTCTAAACTAACAGATTAACAAAAGCGAATTTTCTGTATATCAAAAAGATGGGAACCAGTTTAAAGTGGTGACATTTCTTTTTCCTTTTTTTTTTTTTTTGAGATAAGTCTTGCTCTGTTGCCCAGTCTCGAACTCCTGAGCTCAAAGCAGTCCTCCCACTTCCACTCCCAAGTAGCTGGGATTACAGGAATTCACGACCGCACCCAGATTTTTTTGTACTTTTAATTTGGGGGCTGCAGGCAGGTATCTAACTGTGTTTCCTAGGCTGATCTTGAGCTCTGTCCCCAAGTGATCCCATTACCTCAGCCTCCTGTAAAGTGGCATTTCTATGTAAAAAAACTAGACTTCTTTGGGCTTATCATACCAGTTAGAAAATACAAAAATTCGGCCGGGCGCGGTGGCTCACGCCTGTAATCCCAGCACTTTGGGAGGCGGAGACTGGCGGATCACAAGGTCAGGAGATCGAGACCATCCTGGCTAATACGGTGAACCCCCATCTCTACCAAAAATACAAAAAATTAGCCGGGCGTGGTGGCAGGTGCTTGTAGCCGCAGCTACTCAGGAGGCTGAGGCAGGAGAATGGCGTGAACCCGGGAGGCAGAGCTTGCGGTGAGATCACGCCACTGCACTCCAGCCTGGGCGACAGAGCAAGACTCCATCAAAAAAAAAAAAAGAAAGAAAATACAAAAACTCCATCTGCTGCAACTTGGGAAAGAATTACTTTGGTTTTACCTTGAAATTTTAGAGGGAATATGAAGTTCCAAGTTTATTTAGTTGAACCTCATTTCTTCTTTTATTTTTATTTTTTATAAGAAGATACGAAAGGACAGGACTATCTCATGGGTCCGTGTGAAGAGACCACCAAACAGACTTTGTTTTGTGAGCAACAAGGCTGTTTATTTCACCTGGGTGCAGGTGGGCTAAGTCTGAAGAGAGAGTCAGCAAAGGGTGGTGGGATCGTCATTGGTTCTTATAGGTTTTGGGATAGGTGGTGGAGTTAAAAGCAATGTTTTGGGGACAGGGAGTGGATCTCACAAAGTACATTCTCAAGGGTGGGGAGAATTACAAAGAAATTTCTTAAGGGTGGGGAAGATTATAAAGAACCTTCTTAAGCGTGGGGGAGATTACAAAGTACATTGATTAGTTAGGGTGGGGCAGAAACAAATCACAATGGTGGAATGTCATCAGTTAAGCTATTTTCACTTCTGTGGATCTTCAGTTGCTTCAGGCCATCTGGATGTATACGTGCAGGTCACTGGGGATATGATGGCTTAGCTTGGGCTCAGAGGTCTGACATTCCTGTGTTCTTATGTTAATAAGAAAAATAAAACAAAATAGTGGTAAAGTGTTAGGGCGGTGAAAATTTTTGGGGGTGGGTTGGAGAGATAAGGGGCAATGTTTCTCAGGGCTGCTTCGAGCAGGACTAGGGGCAGCGTGGGAACCTACCGTGGGAGAGATTCAACTGAAGAAAGATTTTGGGGTAAGGGGTGATATTGTGGGGTTGTTAGAAGGAGCATTTGTCATGTAGAATTATTGGTGATGGCCTGGATGCAGTTTTGTATGAATTGAGAAACTAAACGAAAGACATAAGGTACGAATAAAAGAAAGAGAAAAATTGGTATTAAAAGACTAAGAATTGAGAGTACCCAGGATGTCCAATTAGAGAGTGCCCAAGGGGGTTCAGCCTAATTACTTGCTTGGTTGACAAGTTTTTAAGCTCTATCCTTGAGTTGTTTTATGTTGTCATGCAGCATGCCAGATTGATTTAGGTAAAAACAGCGCTCTTCATTTAAAAATATACAGAGTCCCCCTTTTTTTTTTAGCAGTAAGTCAAGGCCTCGGAGATTATGGAGGAAAGAAAAATGCAAAGCCAGCAACTGTTTGTTAAAGAAGGATTAGAAATGGCTAAGAGGGAGTGAGATTGATAGTGTGGTGGAGATAACTGGGGAGAGGTAGAGGGTGGCATAAGAACGGGAACCAGAGTAAGAGTGAGTATAAAAGTAAAGAATAGGACTTCATCAGGGTGAAAGTATTGGCGGATACTGAAGATCTTCTATCCACTTCAAGAGAGACTTAAGGGTGGCGATTTGAGGTAAAACCAGTAGCCACTAAATACCAAGAGTCTGAGAAACTGAGGTGGGAAGGCCAAACTGAGGAATTTTGTCTGACAGAAGGGAAGGGACAGAAGTTGGAACGCTAGCTGCTTTTTTAGCTACCTTATCAGCATAAGCGTTGCTCTGAGCAATGAGATCTAATGCCTTTTGGTGGCCCTTGTGGTGTATGACTCCAGCTTCCTTTGGAAGTAAAGTGGCCTTGAGAAGAGTTTTTATTAAAGAGGCACTAATGATGGAGGACCCTTGCATAGTGAGGAAACCTTTCAGTCCATAAAACAGCATGGTGGTGCAGGATATGGGGTCAGTATAAATATTGATGCATAGTCCCTTTGCAAGAGTGAGGGCCCGAGTTAAGGCAATGAGGTCGGCTTGCTGAGAGGTAGTGGAGTGGGGTACAGCGGTAGCCTCAATGATAGATGTGGAAGATACTATAGCATAGCCTGCCTTTGCTGGTATGTGGCAATTAGGCCTGGTGGAACTGCCATCAATAAACCTAGTGTGATCAGGGTGAGGAACAGGAAAGAAGGAAATATGGGGAAATGGAGTGAACGTCAGGTGGATCAGAGAGATACAGACATGGGGGTCAGGTATGGTATCAGCAATAATGTGGGAGGCTGGATTGAAGTCCAGGCCAGGAACAATGGTAATTGTGGGAGACTCAACAAAGAGTGAGTACAGCTGAAGGAGCTGGGGCAGGGGGCGGAAAGTATATGTGTCAGGTGTGAGGAGGAAAATAGATTTTGGAAGTTATGAGAACTGTAGAGAGTGAATTGAGCATACTTTGTGATTTTGAGGGCCTCTAAAAGTATTAGGGTGGCGGCAGCCACTGCACGGAGGCATGATGGCTAGGCTAAACAGTTAAGGTCAAGTTGTTTGGATAAAAAGGCTACAGGGTGCACTCCTGGCTCTTGTGTAAGAATTTCAACCACACAGCCCTGCACTTTGGCTGTGTGTAATGAAAAAGGGTTGGAATTAGTTAGGGAGAGTTAGTGTGGGGGCAGCTTCTAGGGCTGTTTTTTAAGGAAGGGAAAGGAGTGGCGAAAGCATTTAGGATCTGTGGGGTCAGCTAGGTTTGCTTTTATGAGTTTATATAATGGTTTAGTCAGGATGGTGAAACTAGGTATCCAAAGGCGAAAGTATCCTACCATGCCCAGGAAGGAAAGGAGTTGTTGTTCTGTTGAAGTGGTTGGGGTTTGGGAGATTAACTGGACACGATCAGCAGGGCGAGCACAGGTGTTTTCATGAAGAGTTATGTCGAGATAGGTAATGGATGAAGAAGAAATTTGGGCTTGACTGAAGTAATGGGGGCTGTCCATGAAGTCTTGCAGCAGTACAGCCCAGGTAATTTACTGAGCCTGGTGGGTGTCAGAGTCAGTCCAAGTGAAAGCAAAGAGCGGCTGGGATGGAGGGTACAAGGAATAGTAACGAAAGCATGTTTGAGATCCAGAACAGAATACTGGGTTATGGAGGGGTTGTGGAGGGAGGTATTGAGGAGTGTATATGGGTTTGGCACCACGGGGTGGATAGGCAAGACAATTTGGTTGGGCTCAGAGGTCTGACATTCCTGTCTTCTTATGTTAATAAGAAAAATAAAACAAAATAGCGGTAAAGTGTTGGGGCGGCGAAAATTTTGGGGGGTGGGTTGGAGAGATAATGGGTATTGTTTCTCAGGGCTGCTTCGAGCAGGACTAGGGGCAGCGTGGGAACAAGGCGCAGATCCTGAACTAACCTGTAAGTTTTGTCTGGTTTTAGGACAGGTAAAATGGGGGAACTGTAAGGAGAGTTTATAGGTTTTAGAAGCCCACGCTGTAACAGGCGAGTGATAACAGGCTTTAATCCTTTTAAAGCGTGCTATAGGATGGGATATTGGCATTGAGTGGGGTAAGGGTAATTAGGTTTTAATGGGATGGTTAGGGGTGCATGATCGGACGCCAAGGAGGAAGTAGAGGCATCCTATACTTGTGGATTAAGGTGGGGAGATACAGGAGAGGATGTGAAGGAAGCTTTGAACTGGGGAAAAACACGGCAATGAGGTGTGGCTGTAGGCCAGAAATAGTCAGGGAAGCAGATAATTTAGTTAAAATGTCTCCATCTAATAAGGAAACTGGGCAGGTGGGGATAACTAAAAAGGAGTGCATAAAAGAATGTTGTCCAAGTTGGCACCAGAGTTCGGGAGTTTTAAGAGGTTTAGAAGCCTGGCCATCAATACCCACAACAGTTATGGAGGTGAAGGAAAAAGGCTTTTGAAAAGAAGGTAATGTGTCCAG